CAGCAGCTCTGGGTATGGAGTGGAGGTAATTTCATTAGCAGCTTCAGGAGCAATTAACAACTGTTCTGATGCCTTCGAGAGCTGCAGTAGCTACTAAGGCAGCGCACGTCTCCATTTGTCCTGCACAACACTGGCAGTGTGGGGCAGAGCCGCACAGCCCCGGCTGGGTCAGAGAGGGAAGACCCACTCAAACCTCCCACAGTTAAACCCCCCATCTTTGAGGTCTCCCTTGCTGATAGAGTCATGTGCATGGGCAGGGATGGGGCACGTGGGGCAGCACCCCGGGATGCTCCCGGTCCTCCGTCCTACACTTCAGACCGCAGCACATCCACACACGATGGGTTTGGTGGAGAGGACCTTCAGCCCCATCTCCATGCCTGGCAGGAGCCTGGCACAGCAATAAGCCCACTTCTTTGGGCTGGCTCATTATCACTAATGGCATTCGCATGGAAACAGGATGTTTTCGCTCCTTGAGGCTCCATCTGCTCCTGCTGCAGTCACCACACACACGTGAGCTCCAGGGGGCTGCCATGGGAACTGGGATCCCACCGCATCCCCAATAGGGTGAGATCCCATTGCAGCGTGGGGATCCTGGCCCACATCCTGGACCCATCGGTGTGGTGTGGGGCAGGGAAGCAGGGCTGGCTCTGCCCCATTGGCATGGTGATGGTGCTGCATGCGTGCCATGCTGGCGCTGGGCTCTGCCACACGTGTCCTTGTCACTCTCAATGTCCCTTCTGCGCCGTGGCCCAGTGTGGCAGAGCTGTCACTGGGGAAGCGGCTGGGCGCGCTGATGAGTTAATAGACACTAATTAATACAGATTGGGGAGATCACTTTCAATTCTGATCGCTCTCCCTCTTGCTGTGGGGAAGCCAAGGAGGTGGACAGGCTGAATCCAGCCCCGCTGCCCTGCCACACCTCAGGGACAGCACCGTGTCCCCTTGGCTGTCCCCATAGCAGCCCATGCAGTGAGCTCAGTGCCCAGCGCCTGGGCAGCAGGACGGGTGTCCCACAGCCACTGCACCCTAGGGAAATGCTGAAAGTACTGGCCCTCCTGGGTACCGTAAATGGATTATTACTTGGAGTAATTAAGACGGAATTAAAAATTAATTCTTTTCTCCAGCGTGCCACGGTGGTGGCTGAGCTGTGTGCTGCAGCCTAAGTGCCAGGGCTGGTGCCCAGGAGCAGCTGCATTGGGGCAAAGTGCCACCCGGGTGCTGATGGCATCGCACTGTGTGTCTCCAAGGGACACGGCTGCATCCCTGGGGACGTCACCAGCCATCACCATGTGCTGTGTGGCCAAGGTGCAGCCCTGCCCATGACCTGGGCGAGGCCAACACCGAGGCTCCCCGCACTCCCTTGAAATGCTGAAACATATCTGTGCCTGAGCTCATGTATAATGGATCGCCCTCGCGCTTCCTCCCCATCCATTCGTGGTATTTAAGGAACTGGAATATTAAACACCATTGTATTAACGAAACTGCTGCCTGCCTCTAATTGGGTTACAGAGAGAGAGGAGTGCTGACAAACAAACAGCTCGCAGTGTGTGGCTCTGGTGAGCAGGACGTGGCTGTGGTGCTGCGTGGCACAGGGCGCAGAGCACAGAGCACAGCACAGCACAGCATGGCACGGCGTGGGATATCCCGGCCCTGTCCCATGTGATGGGGATGCTGGAATGCAGAGCCGGGAGTCTGAGCTCATCCCATCCACACGAGGAACAGGAAGATTATGAAAATGAAAAGTAAATAAATATGGATGTTGAGGACCTAATTCTGGTAAGAGGATTTTCAAAATTAGCCATTTGCAGGAGCAGATTAACTGCGTCCAATGCTGGGTGCAGGGAGGGCCCTATGAAGGCATGGCACACCCGACCCACCCACCCCACACAGCCCACGGAAGCGCTCACTGCTTTTGCAGGAGATGGATTTGTTGTGCTGGAAAACAGCTGGCCGTGACACGAGCCCAGGCACGGTGCTGGTGCCACCATTCCCAGCCACTATGGGTCCTGGGGACACGGTGACACAGCACCAGGAACCACCTGGGCTGGGATGGAGGGGATGGGGGAGAGGGGCAGCGGGCAGCAAAACCTCCAGGTTGTGCACAACCCCACAACCAGTGGGTGCTCTGCCCGGAGCGGGTGCTGTGCGTGGGGCTGGGGGCACGTCCCTCACAGCCGGCGGCACCAGGAGGCTGCCAGGGCTGGCGGAGGTTCTCTGCATCCTCCGTCTCGGATTTTCTATCCAGGCAGCCAAGCAGAAATCTCATTACAGCCCAGCACAAAGGCAGCGTCCCCGAGCGTGGCTAGGAGCTGGCGTGGGCACGGCCATGAGCGTGTGACGGAGCGCAGGATGGGGTTTTAGTCTTCCCCCCCCATCACCCTGCAGTGCCCCCACAGCCCTGCAGGGCTCCGCACCCGGCTGCCCCAGGAACCCAGAGCCCCCACCCCGAACCACCCGCGCTATGGGGTCGGGAACGTGCCTGATGGGTGCTGATCCCAAGGCTGGGTGCAGCCACCCTTCTGTCCACAGCTCCCGCAGCAGCAACAAAGGCAATTAATTAGTGGGGCGGTCAGAGAGCTGCCGGCAGAGCGCTCAGAAATCGATGGGTCCATTGACTTCTTGGGAAATCCCAGCTCTCCCAGTGGGTGCAGCGCTGGGCTGGGTGAAGGGGGGGAGGGGGGGGGGCACAGGCTGCAGTGACATCAGCCCCATACTGAGGGACAGCAGGGGGCACACAGGACAGACACACGTGGCACTGCCAGCAGCCCTGTTCCCTGTGCCATGCGGTGAGGACACGGCTGTGCTAATGGAGGCCCCCCCCTTCCCAAGCTGTTCAGTTGCATCTGTGTCACAGGGAGATGTGAGCTGCAACCTTCGAGGGGGTGGCACTAGTGGAGGGGATGAGGCTGTGCCACGGGTAGCGTCCCATTGTGCCCCAAGGCATGGGCTGCATGTGTGCCATGCTGTAGGCACAGCACCCGGTGGGGATGGGGTACACCGAGGTCATCACATGGGGACAGCAGAGCAAACCCCAAAGGCCCCATGGCAATAAGGACACGGGTCAGAGCAGAAGGACACCTTCTGCAGCCCTGTGAAGTACCACAGCAATGCCTGCAGGCCCCCCGGCCACGTGGCTGCTGCCCCTGTCCCCATACAACCCACCCTCTCCCCCCACCCACCTCTGCCAAGTGGGGAAGTGCCAGCCTGTCCCTGCGGGGAAGGAGAGTGCTCAGCCGTGTTGCAGGAGCGAGGCTGCCACCGTCATGCAGATGAGAAGTGACAGTGAGGGACCCTTCTCAGGTACAGGTTCCCTGCAGCACAGGGCACGAGATGCTGTCCCCCTCTGCCCCTCCTCCGCCTCTGGCACTGGGGATAGTTCTGCAAGCACTTAACTCTCTCCCTGCCACGCAGGCCCCTCTGTGCCCATCCCTCCATGCAAACTACCCTATGCAAACACCACCGGTCATGCCCTGATGTGCAAACTCTGCCTTGAAACCCTGGGATGGGGTGTGGGGGTGCAGTCCCTACCCCCTGCTGCATGTGGGAGCATTAACAGGGAGGGTCCACAGGCCCCTCTCTTCCTCCTCCCACACTACCTTCCGTCTCTGGGGAGGTTGTCATGGGAACAGTGTATTGTTGGTACCCCTCACCATGGGTACCCCTGGCCACGTGCCTTGCTGCTCAGCCTGCACCCACACCAGGATGCGATGGGCAATAGGGGTGAAGGTCCCCCACAGGGACTCCAGAGATAACGTGGAGCTACTGGCCATGCCCACAGTCCAAACCCTCCAGAAGCACAGAGCATCGCCGCAGTCCCTGGAGCAAGGAGATGGGTGCTGGCTGCATCCTGACCCTCATCCTCAACCCCAGCCCCGCAGCTTCCCTTGTCCTCTCTGCATCTCCAGCTCCACTGCACCCTCCCCCCACCATCCTCAGCCCTGCTACCATCTGCCTCTCCATTTTGATCAGTATTAATTTTTAATTATGATTATTGACAGGGCATCCAGTGCAGCTGGCTCAAGGGACAGCTGCTTGGTGTGACGCTGCCCGGAGGGGCAGCCTCAGCAATGCTGCTCTCTCCAGGTGGCCCTTGGCCAGCCCTGTATCCATGTGGTGAGCCCCCAAGTGCCTCCTCACCTTGCTGTGCTCCCCCCCCCAGTGATTTGGGGTGCAGGAGCTAAGGATGGGGCCCATTACACCCCCAAAGGGTGGGCACCAGATGTGGACCTCAAAGGCAGAGCTGGTAGCAACCCATGAAGCCGGGGAGAGTGATGGCTCCTATAACTTTCCCAGTCAAATGGAGCCCTGCTTCAGCTGCATGCAAATGGTAATAAACCACAGCAGCTTGCAGCAGCCTACTGCCCACCTGGGTACCCTCAGCCTCCCTCCTGCTGAGATGCAATAGGAGCACCCCAAGGGCACAGCTCCCACTCACCCATGGTCCCCATGCAGACGGTCCCCTCGCTGCCCCCAGCACAGGGGCGAAGGAACGGCGGCGTGGCCTGCAGGACAAGGAGGAGGGAGGTCTAGCAGAATGGGCAGCAGGCTCTGGGGCTCAGCCCCATAGCAAGGGGAGTTGTAGGGCAGCCGCGCTGTGTAGAGAGGCGGCAGCCCCCATCCCGCACTCCTTCACGCTGCCCTTGCTGGGGCCACAAAGGGCCATTAACGCCGCGTGAGATGGAGCTCAGCACCCGCAGACCCTCCCCCCCCCCCCCCCGCTTCATTCCCCCCCCGCCCCACTGCCAGCCACGGGCAGGCGGCACCACCGCGTGGTTCGGAGCTGGCACTGCAGCCCCTGAAACCGGCCTCGGCTTAGCGGTCTACAAGCCTACGGCCGCCTCCCCCCTGCTGGGAAACAACCCGAGAGCGGGTGGTGACACGGGGACAGCCCCCAACAGCAGCCCGCCCCTCACCCCCGCACAACGCCAGCACACACGGAGCCCGCTGAGCTGCAACCATTCATTGCGGGGTCGGGCAGCGGGGTCCCGCTCCCCCCGTGCTCACACAATAAATTTGTTCTTGGTGAGGGAGCCGCTCTTGGTGGCCGTGTCCGCGTGCGCCTGGTACCCGATGGCCACCTTCTGCGACAGCCCCAGGTGCTCCTTATAGACGCGCCTGTGGGAGGAAGGGGGGGGGGGGGGGGGGGGCAGAACGGGGGGCATCCCCCACCCAGTCCAACGCCCACCTCCCCACCACCAGCCCCTGCTCCGTAGAGGAGAATGAGGTCAGGGCAAAGCCCCGGGAACAGCCCCACCGCCATGGGTCGGCCCCACCAGGAACCGCCCCGCCCCGCATTACCCGATGTGGGTGACCCCCTCCCGGTTCTCCGCCTCCCGGGTCCAGATGGCGATCTTGTCCCCCTTGGCACGGATGTTGATGACGGCCCCGCACACCTCATCGCTGTACTCATCGAACATCTCCCCGATGAGGCACAGGAGCTGCAGGGAGGAGAAGGATCCCAGGCTGGGCTCAGGACAGCAGCAGGGGGATGGCGCTGCCCCGGCCCGGTACGCACCGTCTCCAGCCAGAAGCGGTCCAACTCTGTATGCCTCTGCTGCTTGGCGAGGGTGATGAGCCAGCGCCCACCACGCTTGTTCTGGCTGTCCTCCCACATGGGCTCAATGCCGTCCTGGGACAGAGAAGGAATGCTCACAACGGCCAAAGCCAGCTTGGGGCACAGGGATGGGGTCCAAGCAGCACCCTGTGCCTCATGGTACTGGGGTGCAGGGCTGTCACACCTTGAAGAGGGAATAGTCACAGCCCGATGTCAGCTTGCTGGCCAGCTGGATGTGGGTGTACAGCCTGCAGCAGAGACATATGGAGAGCAATGAGAGGAGGTGCCCCACAGACACCCAAATCCCCAGACCCCAAAACTCCTAGAGTTGGGATGGCACTCACGCCCAGAAGTCCTCCACCGTGCTGAATTTGGTGACCAGGCGTAGGTTGGCCTGCCACATCTTGCTCTTGTCATTCTTGAAGAACCACAGGGCCCACCTGAAGGACAACAGGGCTGTCAGCTAGGCTGGACCCCTCCCCAGACACCCATCTGGTGCTGGGATGCTTCCCACAGCCAGGACCACGTACCTGTTGTGCAGTGGGTGCTTGCCCAGGCTCTCTGCCACCTGCAGCTCCTGCTGCTGAGCCCTGCGCCTGCGCCGCTCCTCCTGTCTCCTCTGGGGAAACAGCACAGCCACCCCATAGGGGCGCAGCCCCACAAGTCAAAGCTGCCAAGTGCCCACTGCCCACCCCAGTCCCATAGAAACTATGGGATCAAGGAAACACCCACCTGCTCCCCTGAAGCCATCCCAACCAACACAGCCCTATTCTCACCCTGTGCTTTTAAGGGCTCTCAGCTGAGTGGGATAAGTGCCCTGCTGCAGCTGGGGAGAGGGTGTGGAGGCTGTAGGGAGGGGGCAGGGCAGGGCAGGGCAGGGCAGGGCAGGGCAGGGCAGGGCAGGGCAGGGCAGGGTCAGGAAGTAGGGATGTAGTGGGACAGGATGGGACCAGAATTTGTTGATGGGGTTGGGGGAGTAGCATGGCAGAGGGATAGGCTGGAATGTGGGATAGGATGGCATGGAGTGGGAACAGGGTGCAGTGGGGCAAGGGATGGGATCAGGAGTAAGGAAACAGTAGGGAGAGTCTGGGTCTGTGATGAACTGTGCTAAAAGCTGCTGTGTCAAACTGCACCATGCCATGAGGAGGTGAGCTGTGCTGAGCTGTATCATACCAAGCCATGACACACAATGCCAAATCTTGCTAAGCTGCGCCAAACCTTGACGAAATGTGCCAAGCCAGACTGTGCCAAGTTGTGCTGAGCCATGCCAAGCCATGCCAAGCTGTGCCAAGCCAAACCATGCCTAATGGTGCCATGCAGTACTGAGCTGGGTCGAGCCATGCCAAACTGTGCTGAACTGTGCCAAACCATGCCAACATGTGTAGAATTGAGATGTGCTGAACTGTGTCAAGCCAAGCCGTGCCAAAGCATGCTGAGCATGAGGAGCTGTGCTGAAATCTGCCAAGCTGTGCCAGACCATGCCAAGACATGCTGAAATGTGCAGAACTGTGCCATGCCAAACCGTGCTGAGCTAAGCCATGCTGAACCAAGCCAAGTGGGCCAAGGCAAACCATGCCAAATCATGCCGAGCCATGCCAAAATGCGCAGAACTATAAAGTGCCAAACTGTACCAAGCTGTGCTGTGCCGTGCTAAGGTGCACCAAGGTATGACAAACCGCTCTGAGACTTGCCAAGCCCAGTCTAGCCATGCCAAAGCATGCCAGATTGTCCTAAACTGTGCAGAGCTATGCCAAAATGTGCAGAGCTGAGCCATGCAGAACCAATCTGGTTCTGCACAATCTGTGCCTAACTGTGCTGAGTCATACTGAGCCGAGCTCTGTTTAAATGTATAGTTTCAAGCTGTGCTGAGCATTGTCAAGCTTAGCCATGCCAAACCACCCCAAGCTGAGCAGTGCTAAACCACACCAAGCCATGCCATACTGTGTGGAGCCATATCCAACAGTGCCGAGCCGTGCTGCAGCATGCCAGGCTGAGCTGAGCCATGTTGATCCAAATCGTGCCCAGCTGTGTCAAGCTGTGCCAAACTGTGCCCAGCTGTGCTGCGCCATGCTGAACCATGCTGAGCCAGACTGCACCGAGCCATGCAGTACCAAGCTGCGCCAAGACATGCTGAAAGGTGCTGTGCCAAATCATGCCAAACTGTACCATGGCTTCACCTTAGCCACAGTCAGCCATAATGAGCTGTGCTGTGCTGAGCTGTGCCAAGCTGTGCCAAGCTGTGCTGTGCCGTGCTGAGCCAGAATGTGCTGAGCCATGCAGAAATGTGCCCAAATGTGTCAAACTGTGCCAAGCTGAGCCATGATGAACCGTGCCAAAACATGCCAAGCTGTGTCAAGCCAAGCCATGCTGAAGCATGCTGAGCTTGAGGAGCTGTGCTGAAATCTGCAAAGTGTGCAGTGTGCTTTATGAGCATTGCAAAGCAGGCTGAACCGTGCTGAGCCGAGCCGTGCCATGCCAAACGTTTTCAAATTGCACAGAGCCACGTTGTGCCAAACCATGCCAAACCAAGCTGAGCCAAACTGAGCCTTGTCAAGATGTGCCGAGGCAACACGAGCCATTCCATGCCATGCCGTACTGTGCTGGGCCGGGCTGAGTCACGCTGAGCCGTGTGGAGCTGAGCCAAGCCACGATTTGCCAAAACGTGTTGTTCTGAACTATTCCGAGCAAAGCCATGCCAAGATCGGGCAGAGCCGTGCTTGGCCACCCTTGTACCTCACCACACGGGGGCAGTACATCCCCGTGCACGGTCCGGTTCGGCCCGGTCCGACTCGGTTCGGCACGGCTCAGCGCGGAACGGCACGACGCGGTTGGGCTCGGTTCGGCACGGCTCGGCACTGCTCGGCTTGGCACGGTTCAGCACGGTTCGGCACGTCACGGTTCAGCCGTGCACGGTGCCCAGCACGGCTCAGCTCGCACGGCGCGGTCCCCCCCGCGCATCACGGCGCATCACGGCGCAGCGCAGCGCAGCACAGCGCAACGCGGCTCCGGCACAGCCGCACTGAGCCCGCCCCGCCGCAGCCCGGCCCGGCTCGGCCCGGCCCGCGCCGCGCCCCGCCCGTCCCCGTGTGCCCGCGTGCCCGTGTGCCCGCCACCGAGCCAGGTCGGGCGGCGCGGCGGGAGCGGGGCGGTGCGGGGTCGGGGGCGGCGGTGCGGGGCGGGGCGGCTATCGAGGGCGCGGGGATGCGCGAGGCGGGCGGGCGCCGGGCCGGGGTGAAGCCGTGCGGCCTCTCCCCGCAGAGCCGCCATGGAGGTGTTCATGAAGGGCTTGTCCAAGGCCAAGGAGGGGGTGGTCGCCGCCGCCGAGAAGACCAAGCAGGGGGTGGCTGAGGCCGCCGAGAAGACCAAGGAAGGGGTCCTCTATGTCGGTAAGGGCCGACCCGGCCTGCGTGTCTCCCCCCTCCCGTCCTTGCAACCTCCCGCATTTGCCCTTGCATCCTCCCGCCCATCCCCCTGCTGTCCCCACCAGTCCCCCTACCCCCGGCTCTCGCTCCCCGTCCCCGGCGGCACCGGCGAGCTCCGTCCGCAGCGCTCTGCCCGCGGGGATGGGGCGGAGGGGTTGCAGAGGAGTGGGACCCCGCGGCTGGGACCCCCGCGGCTCTACGCCGAGGACGCTCCGGGACTCAGAGCGGAGGCGCCGCGGGGCTGCGGCGATGCTCGGGCACCGCTTGCGGGGAGCTTCGGTGGGATGCGCTGAGATGTGCCCGGCTTGGAGCGGAAATGCCGGGGAGCCGTTTGTCCCTCCAGGGAGAATTCGTGCCCCGGAGTACACACGGGTGAATGGTGCAGCCGGGCTGCGGCTTCGGGCTGCTGGGAACTGGGTGCTGCTTCATCCCACTGGGCGAGGGGTGGAGCGGTGCCGAGCGGGGCTCTCCGTGCCCGGGGCGCTGCCCCAGGCGGGGGTCCCGCGGTGCCCGGGGGCCCCGTCCCGCAGAAGAACTGTCCGCATCTCCGGGCCGCCCCGTGCAGAAGCGCGCCCCGTGCATCCGGCAGCCCTCCCGAGCCCTCCCGTGGGGGGAATCGGGGGCTGCTCAGCGAGGGGCGCACTGATCCACGTCTCTCTCTGTTTCTACCCCCAGGGAGCAAAACCCAAGGCGTGGTGCAAGGCGTCACCTCAGGTACGGTCCTTCCTGCCCCCGCAAGCGCAGCCGTGCTAACCGGGTCGGGGCTAAGCGAGGGGCTGATGTCACCCGGCTAAAGCCACTTACATAACGGGGCCCGCAGCACAGGATTTGCGGCGCCGCCCGCACTCCGTGCCCAGCTGCAGAGCCGCGGCCCCGGGCACGGAGGGGGGGCGGGGGGATGGGAGCCCGGTCCTGCGCCTGACTAGCCATCAGCCCCCCCCGGCCCCTCTCCCTGGCTCGGGGGACACTGACACGCACCCCCGGCTCCCGCAGTGGCCGAGAAGGCGAAGGAACAGGCGTCCCAGCTGGGCGAAGCGGCGTTCTCGGGCGCCGGCAACATCGCGGCGGCCACGGGGCTGGTGAAGAAGGAGGAATTCCCCGCGGACCTGAAGGTGATTCCCCCCCTCCCCGCACGCCGCTGCACCGCCCTCCTCTCGGCGGGGACCCCCCGGTGGCACCCGGCGCGCTGCTGAAGGGTCCCCATCTGAGCGTCCCCGGGGCCGGGGCGGGGGGGACGGAGGGTCCCCCGCGTGGCGGCTGCGTGCGCGGCTGCTGCGGACGTGTGCGTGCGTGGATCCCCGCATGGCGGCGCGGGGCCGGCGGGGCGGCATCGCCGCGTTGCGCCGCGAGGTGACCTGACAGCTGCGGGAGCGCTGGGGCGGGAGGGGCGGCGGGCTCCTCTCGCTTCCAGCTTAGCCCAAAATAGCAGCAGCTGAAGAAATGAGGCCACGGCACGCACCGCCGCCGCGCGGGGGGACCGGCCGTCCTCCTCCAGCCGCTCTGCCCGGCCCTGGGGAAGGGTTATCCGCCCCGCCCGGGATGCGGGATGCTCCGGCACCTCGAGGGGGGCTGAAGGCGCCAGCACGCGTCACCCTCCTGGGGATGAGCATTGCGGGGATGCGCACTTCCACAGTCGCTTTCCTGTCCCTTCCCAGCTTTGTGTGCTGCTGTGAGCACCGGGTGCCCTGCCAGCACCCCCACTTCGCCCCGTATCATTCCGTCCTGGCTCTATCCCACCCCGTGTGGGCGTGTGCCTGGTCCCTGCCAGGTCCCCCGGGTAATTCCCTCCCCGGAAGGGTGACGTTCGAGGGATGCATGCGTGGAACTGACCACCCGCTTCACCCCCAGGCCGAGGAGGTGGCCCAGGAGGCTGTGGAAGAGCCGCTGGTTGAGCCGCTGCTGGAGCCGGAGGGGGAGAGCTACGAGGAGTCCCCACAGGTGAGGGGAAAGGATGGCACTGCAGGGATGCGAGCTGTGCTCAGCGCCTGGTGGCATCGCTGTGGGGAGAGGAGCCAGGAGCCTGCCAGCTCTACAGCACCCGGAGCAGGGAGCCTGGAGGTCAGGCAGGTGTGGTTGGAGGAACTGTCCCAGCTGAGCCTTCTCACTGCTCTTTCTTTTCCCATCTCGCAGGAGGAATACCAGGAATACGAGCCAGAGGCATAATGGAACCCTGTCCTTGCCTCTTCCACCAGCAGCACAACGAACCGCCGGTAGCCCCCTGCTCCTCCCCTGCTGGCCCCGGCCAGCGCCTACGTACCGGGGAGGAGCAGGGTTGCCCCTGCCCCGTTCGCTCACAAGTTCTTCCTCCAGTTCCGTTCCAAGGGACCA